AAGATATTTTCAACTCCGCTAAGGGGTGGAACATATTCAAATAGCTGGAAGAAATCTTACGTTGTACCCATTCACAAAACCGGACCTATAGAGGACATAAATAACTACCGCCCCATCCCCATCACTTCCGTGGTTTCTCGTGTGATGAAAAAGATTGTCAAGAAGCAAACTGTTCAGTATTTGCTTTCGAATGACCTAATATCCCTTTTCCAATACGGCTTCTTAAATAGAAGGTCGTGCATCCCTTGCCAGTTAGATTATTTCGACCGCATTAGTGAATGTGTAGACAAAGGTCGTTTGGCAGCAACATTATTTATAGATGTTAGGAAAGCATTTGATAAGGTCCCATATAAGAGACTCATATTGAAACTCATATCTTATGGAATAAGTGGAAGGCTATTCGAGTGGATAACTTCCTTTCTTACAGAAAGAGAACTTTTGGTTCAAATCAACAATCACTTATGTGCATCCAAACCAATCACCAGCGGCGTGATACAAGGTAGCGTTCTTGGTCCTACCCTATTCATTGTACTCATAAATGATATTGTCTCTGTGACCAAGTATGGCAAGCCGTACCTCTTTGCAGATGACCTCAAAGTTGTCTACGACTTCGACTATGATGATATGAATATTGCTAGTAAAATCCAACAAGACCTAAATAGTCTATGTAACTGGAGTGAAAAGTGGCAGTTAACGTTCAATCCACCTTAGTCTGGGATAACATACTTCGGACGTTGGAAACCTAATATGTGTCTATACATGTACGGTGACCTTGTCTCAAACACGATCTCGGTGTAACATACTCAGATCTTACCTTTACTGAACATGCAAATAAGGTGATATCTGATTGTAAACGTCTAACTGGCTTTGTGCTACGCAACTTTTACACCCCAGAAGCCAGATTAGCCATATATAAGATATGCATTCGCCCCAAACTTGAATACTGTGCCCACTTATACAGTAGCTTTAAATCATCAGACAGAAAAAAAAAGTTGAAAGTGTCCAAAGATTCCTCGAGAAACGCATATTAGGCTATGATCAGCAAATAGAATACCTTGACAGATGTATTCGGCTGGATTTAAAACCCCTATGGTTAAGGAGAGTGAAGTGCAACTTATTTCTCTTATTCAAAGTTATAAGAAAGCACCTTAACAGTAACTCATCCATAACGTTGGCTAATCTTAAATCGTATCGACTACGCAACCATGGCTACCTTCTCAAAGTTAACACCTATAAACTCACCACTAGAGCTAACTTTTTCACCATTAAATATTGCAAACTTTGGAACCAACTACCCTCTGAGATTAGGTCCTGTGAAAAGCCTGACAGTTTCAAAAGGAGAAAAACATAATAATATGTTCACCCTAGCCCGTAGAGTGGTGAGAAATGACATTTCAATATTTAACTACGGAAAGTACACTAGTCCCAATTCTAATATAATAATACTTAGTAATTATGCATAATCAATTCTTGACATTTGATTGTTATTACAATACTTAAAATGATTAAAATACTTCTGCAGCAAATGTTCTCTTGCTTTACCACGCTTGTTTCCCTTATAACACTCAATTATTGAACCTAAAGTATTCTGTGATAATACGAATTATAATATTGATTATACTATTATCATACATAGTTTGATTTACCTTACGGCTCCCTGTAAGACTAACTACCCTCCTTCAGTATACGCACACTGCAGTATTGCTAACCAAATGTTGAAATTTTGTTGGTTCTGTGTTAATATCTTTTTATAATATGTGTAGACAGGTTACTTTGCAATGTCAAATGTTTACTATATAAAATACAGTCATGATAATTTAGTACAATAAGTCCTGCCGACCAACCTTACCTTCAGTTCATACTACCTACATTGAACCCTAATTATAGTGTTCTGCTGAATCTTGCTCCACTATTCACAAAACGTATTCTTTTAACTCTTTAGGGTTTTAACTTCTTATAAACTAATCTATTCCTAAGGAAGCATGCACATATATAATATGTTCATGAAGATGTACGTAGAGACTTTCTGCAAGCAATCACTAAGAAAGGTAGGGGAATGGAATACGAGGTACGTACGTGTCTGGCACCAAGCAATATCTTTGCTGTAGCCATAACAATCGCAGTCTCAGAGCCTACTACTTACGCAGAGAACGTCTAACTAATTTACTGATTTTTCATTCTGTATAGTCTTCCATAAGTTATGTTAGTATCAGTATTTCTAGAAACAATAATATTAGCAACCACACCTTTTGATATTTTACATTTGTATACATAGTTAATAATATAATGCTATTTTTTGTGTCTAAATGACTTTACTCAGCCAATAACGACCTTTTCTCACATACTTATCTAAAACGTATAATTTTTATAATATTTCGCAGCATTTTTAACATTATACAGGTTGAAGGGTTACTTTGCAATGTCCGATGCGTACCGCATGAAAATCTGTCATGAAAATTTAGCATAACTAGCTCTGTTAACTGGCTGTTTTCTTCAGGATCATTATACGTAATTTTATCACTAATTGTTCCGCTACACATTTTACTCTGCTAAAGAGACTATAACTTAGATGCTGTAATACTAGCTACTTCTATACTTTATACTTCTTAAATTAAACGCAATTCCCGAGGCGTTTATGAAAAATTCTTATACGCATGTACAAAGGTGATACTGCTAAGAATGTCTTCAGGCATCGATGTATCTGATGACCTAATGGGAAGCGCTTGTCATGAAAGCTATTAATGTGCAGCATATTGTATGATTGGGACGGGCTCAGAGCAATGTAATACTGCAACTACAGTTTGCAGAATAAATTTAAGAGCTTAACATCAAAAAAGGAGGGAGGGTGGCGCATGCTGATCAGCAGATATGGTAGTGGTCACAAATGTGAATCACTCCGATCTGTAGGACAGCAACGTGCGTCTTTTCACAGCTCCAGAATTAAACATTAGTATGTACCCTCAACAAAAAGCAATAATAAGGGTGCTTCTGCACCTACCATCTACAAGCCTGTTCAGCTTGTTGTCAAGATGCTACCCGTTGGACCCTACAGAAATTCATGAGGCATCTTACAGGTCAGCTTGTTCTACGGCTTCCAATTTTCCATATCCTTGAATTCGCTCCTCATTTAAATATCACCTACCTACCTCATGATCTTCTTATTTATGCACTATTACACCGTACTTTATGTTGACTAACTAGGCCATTATTAAGGCTACAACTTGCTTCTTGTTCATGTTTGTTGCTTGACCAAAGTCTGGTTGCTTTGATTAAAAACACAACAACATCAATCCTTGAACAAAGCTACGTTTTCATCAAAAACGTCATATTTTCCATGCTTAGACCAATGTGGTTAGCATTACACATTGCAAATGTATACTATCATCTCAAGTTCTATAAAGCTTCTTCTCCTTGTATTTATCTTGTAAATATACTTCCAATAATGCATTATTCATAATCACATATTATACCATTTTGCAGCTGCGCAGATTTTTCTCCTCTTCTTGAAATAGCGTTCAATCACGTGACGGTATAGCACCAACCCAGATATACGCTGTTCAACGGTTGACCATAACTGTCAGCAGGAAACGGAACGAAGTTTGGGTTGTCACTCAACTTCGATGGTGACCTTAGTAAACGGTTGACAATTTAACATTTATAAGGACCTGTTCTGATTGCTTGTACTATGATTGAACAACTTACACTTTTGAAAAAGTATGAATTTATGATACTTCAGGATTGTAATTTATAAACACCAATGATCGTGCCTGTGGAAATGGCATGCATTTCTTTAAACTTACCCGTTTATACGAAATATAAATTATTATTATCTCCAGCTGTCCCGTGACCTGTCTACCATCGTTGGATATGAGAAATACAAACTGGACGTCGGAAGCCGTTCTACGGAAACTTGCGTCTGTATGCGGACCGATCATTAGGATTAGACAATATTTCCGTATACGTACAGGTTTACATGTGCTCATTGATTTTATGTATTAGTTTTAATCACGTTCCAATTTCAGTGAGAGATCACTGAAGACTAAGGAGCACTAGAAAGCTGTTTTGTCTCGTTATTAAGGAACTCCTTGGATGAGCTCATTCACGGACCCACCATGAGACGGACCCTTTTATTTCTGAATAGCGAGATCAAGCTCTCAAACACCTAGATATTGGGCATACTGCCGCCAATAATTCGGACGAAACAGTAATCCAATACTCTTTGGTTTTCAATTATCCCATCATAGATGCTGGTTCGCTGCAAAGTCTGGCAACTGAAATTAAATTAGTCAAAATCCCCACAACTTCCATAATCTCGATGTATACATTAGTATTAGATAGTGATATTTCCAGCATAAAAATGTAGATTTGTCCACAAAAATCCAGAGACTTTTTACCTTCCTTGTTTCTTCAGTCCACGGTGTGGAAGACGGTTTCTGATTCTAAACAGTATTTTGGTACGAATATGGAATTTTGCAGTATGTGATATCGGTAGCTTAAATTTGGCAGGTGACCACTGATATCAAGTGCGCGCCGGCAGATCATCGAACCCCAGCCCACATTTAACATCTGTAAGCGTCCCAACCGCAGTGCCACCGACGCACTTCTATCCTCCACTAAAACTGGTTCAGCAAGTTTGAATTTACCTGTATTGTCCCATCTCACCATCCTTGTATCGTTATCCTTATTATTTATGTGTAGTAAAGTCTGAAAAGTTAGTACAATATTTGTTGTGATTCATTCTCATACTCCACCGTTACCTTGGAATAAGTACACTTGACACTGATCACAAAGTAGTTGGTGACTATAAGGATACCATAAAAGATATCTTAGAAGGTTGTATCAGATATAAGAAGTGCATTTCGTGCATTAAACGTGCAAAGCCCTAAGGATTTAACTTTGATCATTGTTAGAATCTCGCGAACTGATCTTAGCGCGCGTCATGTAAACCCCCCGACTTAGCCTGCCATCCTTGCGGGCTCAATTGAAGTGGGTGGTTATCGATGTTCTACGCTGTAATGAGCAATTCCCTGAACTCCATCATGCTATTACTAAAAAATTCAATAGATGCGAACGAAAATGTAGGTTTTTGTGTGTCTACAACAGACATATAACTTGTATGCATATATAACACCACATTTTACAATGTAAATGTTCTGGGTAATATGTGTATTAATATAGCTACTTAAGGGGGTCAGTGTTTTGCTTATTTTCAGCTTTCCTTTTGGAAAAACTGATTATTTTGACTTAAAACTATTGATAAACGTGTAATTGTACATGTTTCCCTGACTGCATGTGTTTTGGGTCCACTTGCGGCATAGGTAAATCGTAGTGGTGGAAGTGTGCGAAACTCGTTACATCCATCATATTTCAAGAATTACCTGTAGTTAGCCAGGTCCAGCAACACCCATATGCCACATCTTAAAGAATCCATATATTGTTGATACCTTAGATAACACCACTCGTGTGCGTCGGTGGCACAGTTGTTAGGACTCTCGCCGACCATGCGCATGGTCCGGGGTTCGATCCCCTGCCGGCGCACACCCGATATCTATGGTCGGCCTGCAAAATTGGGCTACCGATATAACATGCTGAAAATTCCATACTTGTACCAAAAATATGGTGTGGAATTTTATTTTTTAATTTTTATATACAGCTTGATTCCACACCGTATTTTCAGTACAAGTATGGAATTTTCAGCATGGATATCGGTAGCCCAAATTCAGGCCGACCATAGATATCGGGTGTGCGCCGGCAGGGGATCGAACCCCGGACCATGTGCATGGTCGGCGAGAGTCCTAACCACTGTGCCACCGACGCACAAAAATCAAGCTATAATAAATAAAAAAAAATAAAATAATCTTCAGTCATTTGAGAATCACTACTATGATTTCGGTTTATAGTTAATATTTCCTGTTTTCGCTAGCTGATTGTGTAGCCCGTCCACCTTTCATAATCGCTAACTATCAGTATGTCATTTTGAAACAGGTCTAGGTTTTGATGGTAGCTCTCACACTGCTAGTGTGGAATTGAAAATTATGTGTAGATCTATGGCTTAAGTCAGAATATTGCATCATATAGGGCGGACTTAGTTTCAAAAACTCAACTGAGACTCTTTTGGCGTAGATTATTTTTTCGTATTTTGGGCGAAGCACCAAACTCGCCTATCAGGTGTAAAGGTAACGTGTGTCTGTTAATGAGATCGCTCGTTATCTTGGTATTATTTTAACCCTTCCATTCTATTCTGTTTTGATTAATAGGAAAACAAGTTTTATTATAAGTTCTTTTCTAAGCATTTATCATTTACATCTTGTGTTCTGCAATCAACCAAGTGTTTCATTCTCCCATTTGGATGAAACTGTCAGTTATATGAGCGTCTTCACTGGGTAGTTAATCGACCTTATAAACTTAAAGTGCCGTGATAAACTGCAAACCTTGAAAGTCTACATTTTCCTGTGGTGTCACAAGCTGTATTCCAAAAGAGGGATACTCTCGTAACGAATGAATTCTATGCATTGCTGATAGTTGGACACTCGTCTGGAAGGTATTGCTGACATTTGGTGGTCTGCCAATCGCGTTATATATTAATATATCTATTGTTATGCTTCACAGGATGTAGGAGGCTGGAAGAGATGACTAGAGTCTGTTAAACTAAAGGACAGTATTCGTTAGGTCATTATAACACCGCCAGTAGTTAGTGCATCGATGTACACTGAAAACATTCGGTAGAGTTCTGATCTCTCTGAATTTCACATATATCCGTTGGGCACTTTTAATTTATTACGGGGCTGTAGATCATTGGCGCATGCCTTTTCATCTTCGTGCAAATTTGTGTTCGTATTCCACTCATACGTGTTGATATTCATATACACGCCTCACAATATGGATGTGGCTCACTTTATCCTTCATCTGCATATGATTTTCGAAATACATCTCCCCAACTAAACTTCGAACCATAGAGTGCGTACACGTCTATTGTAAGTGAGGATAAAGCTACAGGCAATGGACAGTGGTAAACAATATATTTGAAGGAGTTATTATTGTGAGGTCTACTATAAGTTCGCAGTTGATTCCTACAAAAGGTCTTTTCAGAATTCATTTGCCTGGGGCAGATTTTTCATGTGCCAGGATTTGAAGCATACTTATTGCGTGACGGCTGATGATATTACGTAGCGGCTAAAGCTGGTGATGAGGTGGAACCGGCACCAGCCGGCTGATAAGAAGTATCTAAACCAGTGAACCACACTAATCCAGCTTCGAATTCCGGAAGCGACATACCAGCTTGAAATCGTCTAGTTTACCAGTCTGTTCAAGACCTGGAAAGTAAAGAAGGTCCCTATTAGAACTTCGAGATACAATAGCCAGTCAGTTGGAACTTTGATGTGAATGACACTTGCGGCACTAGTTTTCCTACGGAAATTCCTCAATATTTTCTTTTCGCTTCCGTTTGAAAGCCGCGTTCATATCTGTTATGTGATAGAACCAATCTCATAAACGTGTATTGCTGATTAGTAGTTATTGCATTTAAAACTGAAAAAGACCTTTCAGAATCTGTTGTAGAGATTCTTGAGTACTAGCCAACTGATTCTTTGGTTTTTCCGATGATAGATGACAGGTGAAATGATTCAACACATTATATAGATTTGTCGAGTAGAAAGCAGATTGTCCTTAATTTGGCTGTAGCCCATCTTCCCAAATTAATAAGTATAGTACTCATCTTCAGCTTTAGGCGGTCTGGAAATTCTACTAATACGAAGACGAACACATTCAGGCCTAAAGTTAAACGTGTAGCCTTGGTAAATATTCCCTTCGTTTGTAACTTTCTGATTGTCTTGTCGTAACAGTGTTAACGAAATCAGGTTATCTACGATTAGTGCAAAATTCCGAATATAATTTGTTTACGTATATGGCTACCTAGTAACTTTTCTCTCATTAAGGTCTTCATACTTAAGTATTTGTTATAGGGCCTGTTCACCATCTTACATTTAATTCAAATCACTTAGTGAAGACATCACATTAGTCAGTTTATTTGAGAGCTAGAGTCATTATTCATTCCTCAGTCTTTTGAGATTTGATAGACTTATTTTCAATATAAAACTGCACGGAGATGCAGCACTTCCTCGCCGCGCTTCATGTAGTACACAAACGTAAATAAAGGACAAATTCAGAACTATCACCAATAGTCTGGATCCATTGGTTCTTAACACCTTGAGTATCCCAAACAGAGATTCTGAATCTCCTTAACTGCCCTATATATATATATATATATATATATATATATATATATATATATATAAATTCCCAGCGTAGCTGAGAAGAAATCAGGTCAGTTCCTTCGAAGGTCACTTTCGGTAGACATTTGTACCAATAGGAAAGTGTAAACAGTCATCACATATCTCTAATGTTGTGTGTATGCTGTTTGTTACGTGGAAAACACGTTAAAACAATATTTCCTAATATGGTCCTAAAATACGGTTGTTTTTTCCCTTCATCTGTTTCGCCTCATTAGATTCTGCCATATAGGTGATAAGTCTATCCCTTCCCTTTCATTTACTGCATTCGACGTGGTTAAAACATGCAAGGCTTCAAAGGTCAACTTTTCTTCATGTGAATGAAAGCCTCTCCCTAGAATTTCGACATTTTTGAAATCAGTCCTATGCCCGCTGTCTATAGTATACATTGCTGTAGCTGATCTTTTTTCTAAACTTTTTAATTCTACTACATTTCTCGGTGGACTTTTCGTGCACAGTATGTTCACTCACTCTGACCTTCACCTGTCTACTGCTCTCCCCTATATAGCAAGTTTCACATTATGAAGACAATTGTTTTGTGACATTTTGGGAACCATATCTATGAAATTCACCAAAGCTTTCTCTAGAGAATTGGAGTGCTTGGAATGTACTTTAATATTATATGAAGCAAGTAGTCTTTCAAGTTGTTCATCTGCCTCCTTCCAATATGGAATGGCTATCGTTGATAGCCCAGATTTTTCAATTTTTTCCTGTTTTCCCTTCTATTGCTTTTTATTGATAATATTACTTAGCAGCTTTTTCGGATAACCATTTCCACTCAAAATTTGTTTTATACAGCACTAAATCAACGTCCTTTATCTTTAGCAGAAGAATATTCGAGTTTTTGTATTAGTATTTATTTAAGGTCATAGTGAATCAGCTAATAAGTTCTGTACTACTTCTCTGTCAGTCGGTATCAGTATTGGTCTTGCCGTTAGTCCCAGTTGTCTCACGGCATATATTCACGCTTAGTGAAAGGAAGGAATATTTTGAATTCATATTACGAAAGCTAGTGAAGCGTTACAAGCGAGAAAAGTAGAAATTAGTTATAGTCGACTAAGGGCGGATAGGCCTGCGAATTAAAGTCTTGCTACCAAAAGTCTCTAATTATAAGTAGTCACTGGTATATCAACTAAATAATCTACACATCCGAATTAGATTCTTGCCAACATTCGCTGATTTCAAAAGCTAGGAGCATAACGTGACCTGGCTGCCCTCCATTTCCTTCGAGTCTGAAACTGCTGCATGGTGTTCGAGTTATATATTCAGCAAGCACGCTTAAGAACATGGTCTTGGTTGACTTATATAATAACTAGAACTCTACACCCAAGTTATACACTGTTCAATTTGCCTGTAATAACTTTGTTGTTGGCCTTGAATTACTGCACTATCGCGCGTGCTGGATGCACATTCTATCATTAGTCTACATTGCTTTTTACTACTTGTCGAGTTTTTTCCTTATTTCGCATTTTTCTCGCTTCTGAAGTAGGCGTTTCAATGTTTAAGCTGACTTGTTTGTGCAGGTCTTTGCCCAATGTGTAACGTACTGTTATGTGAATATCTCAAGTTAATCAGCAAACTTTTGTAATAAATAAAACTTGGAAAAACTTTTTTAAACAATGCTTATTAGGTGTTAAAATAAGATTTATCAGCCTGTTACTTGATTGTAAATTCGTGTTTAATTTCTCCCTCTTGATGACAGACTGATTCAAAATATAATCCGTCATTTTCTTGTCCGACGACCACTGAATTTCGCCATTTTGCTAAGTATGTATGTCAGTGTTAGTTCTACAGGCCATATATAAGGAGTCTAAGAAAATTAGTTTTCAAGATGCAGTTACTAGGTATGGAATAAATGACTACTGAGCTGATGCTCTTTTGCTTCAAGAATCATCTTTCAACAACGCGGTTACGGATAACTTTTCACTTAACGAAATGTCGGAAAAAACTTGCATCAGTAGATTTGAAAAACAACTTTCATTCACTCGTGCATTGTTACATAGTTGTGAAAGTGTTTGATTATCCGAGCAATCAAAGAAAAGTGTACTGTCATATTCGTTTGACTCAGAACGTGAGTTTTCAAATGACAAGTGAATTGTTTTTGTCGTTTTTGTTCTTGTCTTTACTAGCCTTTAGTTATTTTAAATGCATGTGCATCTATTATCAAGCGTTAGAATTTTAGTTTCAAAATAATTTTATTGTTGTAACTGTGGACGTACTGTGAAATAATAAGCATTTTTAATTCTGCCTGTCAAGCAAGTCAATTGTACCATTGTGTTACAGATACCTCAGTAGGTGAATAATAATAACCGTGATGATAAAAGTTTCTTAATTACTGAAGTAATTAAATAAACTAGATATTTGGTCACCGTCATGTACGGGAAATACTTGTGTCTAATTAGGCTTACCAACAAATATTGTTGTTACAGCAATAAAATGAACTGTTCGTTTCCATTGTAAGCTAAAATTGATATGTGCATTCATAGATATGGGGATAAATGTAGAAATGCAAATACTATTAGCAAACTACGCAGTGTGGTTGGAGAAGAAAGGTGCTGAAGTTGTATGTGGACAAAAAGTAGTCGACGTAACAGGGAAGTTGACAAGGCAGTAATTTTGAACACATGAATCTATTCGCGAATGAGTCGTGTAACGTGATTTGGCTAAGTATAGCATATACATGAACTCAGTACAGTGCTAGTCTATTTGTCATAGGTTCACGCATTCTCTGTCCCCAAACGTACAGTAGTTACCCTGTCAACCGAACTCAAGGAGGCTTGCCAACGCCAAAAATCTGATTCCGAGGACTAGGTTTTAAGTTGAAAAAAAACATGAATGCCATAAATAAACCCTTGTTCCGGGCTCATCATCTTAATGAAAGATTAGGTTTAGACCATCTCTTGTTGACTGGCCTAATCGGTTTCAAAATAGAAATTAAGCTTTCATAAGGATTCAGTCATTGAAGTTCACGTTTATTCGTCAAGAAAAACGAAGTATATCGTAATTTTCTGCTTGTCCGCTAAGCAGTTTCGTTGTCACCCAGCATTCACCAAATGTCGTCTCGGATAAGTACAATAAGTAGTTCATTACCTGTCAGCTACTGAATAAATCCAGTGACTTGAGTGACCGTTTTTAAACCGTTTCGTGTATCTCAAGCATGTTATGGGGAGCACTGGTTATCGTTGTAAAAAATTTAATATGGTAATGGGACTTCATCGTCATTGATGTATCACTGGATGTTACTCTAACTGGCTTTAGAGACTTGGACACTTACTTATTACCAGGGAACGGTCTCATGGACTCAGTCTACAGATATTGCTGTCCTCGTAGGCGATGGCACCAAAAAACGCAGTCGTTTGAACACAGCAAGAATCTTCGAATGCTTGAAGTGCGATTCACTCCTATCAAATGCACGATGATGCTGCAGACCTGGTCTGCACTAAGCTGTGTTTTGCAAATAAAGAGGGGAGTGATTCGGTGTCGTGACCACTTCACTTATTTGTTAAGTCATATAAGCTCTAGTGGATTGATTGCTGAGGAAATCCCTGCTGGAATGCAGAAGGTTCGTGTGGTATTTTCCAACTTTCATCATTTCTGGCGTAAACGTAATATTCGGTCATCGAGGTAAAGACGTGTACCCTGCGCTAAAGTTAGCCTTGTGCCTTTTTTAATTGTGAAAAGTAGTCGTTGGAAGGGGAAGATTTGAAGAGACTAGTTGTCTTTGAAGACAGGTATTTGCGTTCTGACACTGGCATAATGTAGAGGTAAGAGTTGATTTTAGGTAACGATGACGAATCAATCTATCAGGCTCTGAAGCTGCATTGATTGAATTGGCTCAGAAACATGTCGTGCATGTGGAGCTACTGTCTTACCCTAAGAGCGGTGTTGCTGACATCGAGTCGGATGACCGAATCGGATACCGGCATCAATCCATGAAGTCTTCAAATGTTGGTTTGAGCTACTTTGGGATGTGTAGATTGTCCACAGTATGCCAAAAATAAAAGTTAGGGACTGTTATTGTCGTGGTTCATAGTTTTTTATACTGTCATAGTTGTATTCCCTTCTAGTCATCCACTACAATTTGAAAATGTCTCGTAGTATAGTTATTCGCTCTTCTGTACATCCTCCCCATTGTAGTTTGACGACACTTCTCTTCTTTGTCACTGAAAGGTGAGTGGAAATCTTTAATGCATTTCAGATTTCCTTCTATACCACTGTGCAAAGCTGTTATCAAAAATGCTTATTGCCTTAAACTGTGTTACATTCCAAGGTATTTGTTATAACTCTAGGTGTATGTAAGACAGATGGTCGAAGTTATTATTTGTCTCCATATTGTGTCGTTTATGCCCATGCATGATCGCCGATAAATAGGTCCGAATATGTCAAACTTTACATTAAAGTTGTTCATTTTGCTAATCTGCCTTTTTCTTAGAATTCACTGGCATTTTTTGCTATTGCACGAACTTATTCGTTTCTGTTTTTTGATTGTAATCACATTGCTAAGAATTTACTGTTGCATAATTTGTCCCAAAGCCTCACTTGAGTACATTGTGATGTATTTGATTATTAATTACAGGTTCTCTTTCATCTTAATGTGGACTTTTGTACATTGTGTAGGTTTTGCTATGATTGGTAAAACTTTTTATACCATACTTCCTTATAAAGCGCTGAACTCTTAACAAAAAGCTGCACTTCTAGTCTATAAAACTTGTGTGTGATCAGTCTTCGTTGGGTTCTCCACTAATACATCACAGGATGTATAGTACCACCAATCAGTTTACATTACTCGTATGTGCTAGACAGTTACTATGGGACTTAGTCATTTCCATTTATCACTAGGGTGGAATTTTGTGTGATAAGTGTAAAATCGAGTACTTAAAGTCGACTAATATGGATTATTGTCAGCTGAGTTTAAAATGCCATTTAGTTTTTGTTCTGAAATGTCTGGTAACTATACCTATCGTCTCTTACTTATTTATATAAGGTAGCAGCTTCATGCGCTTTGGCGTTCCGAATGTATGTGTAAGGTCCAAATGAGATTGTAGTTGCATGAGTGATGCCATCCGGTACATTAAATTCACTAGCTTCAGAATTTACTATGCATTTTGTTTATTCATCACATCTAATAATAAATCGCAGCACTTGTGTTGTACTGTGAATTACTAGGTGGTGTCATAGCTTTGCCAGCTGATGATGTTCTTCTTGAGGCTGGAGACTTATAACACTCCGTAATGCTTATTAAGGATGTTTTTTTATTTATATGATAGACTCATTGTACATGTGACAGTTAGACAGTGAATTTGAACAAAATCAGTTTGTATTATAGAGTCAGCCGTGCTTCCTTTTTCTCCTTGTCATCATTGAGCTTTGTGACTGAAATATTTGTAGGACAGTGATGTGATTTTAATGTAAAATTTTAACACGTGACTCCGAAATTGTGCTCTAATGATTCTATTTTAAACTTGTCTCAATTTTTAACAAACCAACATTTCAGTTCTTATCATCCTTTTTCCTGGAACTCGTTTTCCCATTTTTACTTGATTTATTTTTAACAGCGTTATTTTCACTAATTTTGTTTGATACTTTCTTCTAGATAACTGACATTGATGCAGTCTGCGACGTTATTGGACGTTTAGAAAACTTTCCAATGACGATGAATCAATTACAAGATACTAGGATTGGTCAACTTCTACAAACTATCCGCCATAAAGTAGATAGACCTCTTCAGAAGCGGATTCGACTTGTCATCAAGGCCTGGCAGAAGCTGTTGAGTCCTGACTATTCACAACTATTTGTAATTCCTTCAAAAGCGTCTGACAAAAGTGTAAATACACCTCTTAGATCAAATGGTACACCAGCTAAGCCACACGTTCATGAAACGTCTAGGCTGTCTACAAATGCTATGAAAACCTCATCCCCTTCACAGTTACAACGTCCTGATGTAGTCTGCAGCAATGAGCCATGTGTCCGTTCAACGAAGAGGATCCTGCCAGATCATTTACTAGACAAGAATTGTGACAATACTGCATCAAAACCACGTGTCTATCAGACTCAGCAAAGCGATAACTGTAATTCCAATGAATCTAAACGCCAAAAATTTGTAGACTTATCATTGCCTCCTACGAGCGTATCAATGCTAAGTCACAATAATAGTCCTTCGGTTAAGATATTAAATGGCACTAGCGGTACAGAACCACAGGATTCTCTATTTCAACCAAACTCAGACTCCCCAGTATCACAGTCGTGTACGTCGGCAAACTCTCGATTACCACCTCTACAAAGTTTGTGCAAACCTCGTGTAACCAACTCTGCCCGTTTATCAAAAGTTAAATCCACCGCAGAGCTAGTTCAAGAGGCAGGCGACTGCATTGATTCCGCTACTGCTGATCGTATTCTAACAAACAGAATTAGTAAAGAAGTTGATCCATCACGTGTATCTTCTGTTACGCAGCCTGCAAAGCTACATTTAAGCCGAACTTCTTCTGGTCCTCATCAAACTTCATGCAATATCACTGTTAATAACAACGAAGTAACACAACTTCCAAAAGCCGGTACATTTTCAGATTCAAAGTCCCACATGCAGCCTAAGTTTACCGAAACTTCTGCTTTACATGACAAAAGCCGCATCCCTGTTTCAGATTCTTTCGGAATGACGTCACATTCAGGAGTGACGCAAACAGTTGCTCATGATCAAAATTCACTTTGCCCGAATAACAATGGAAATATTTCGAATCAGCCACTTCTCATGAATGTAAATAGTGAAATACAGGACTCCCAAAAAGTAAAAAAGAAAAAGAAACATAAACATCATAAGCATCACTCCGATATATTGGAGGAGTCGTTTGGGTCACACTCCAAGAAACCGGATGATTGGGAAGAATACAAAAAATGTATGCCTCCCGTAACTAATTTCATGGACGATTGGCCAGTATTACCATCTTTACCAGCTGAGATTGATTGCAATACTCTTGACAGTAGCTATGTAACTACCTGTGATAGTACTTTTTCAAGCAATAAAGAGCATATCCTCTCTCCTACGGGGCGTACAGAAGGCACTGAACTTGATTTTATTTCTCCTACTGAAGTGTACTCAGTTTCGCTCGGTGACCAATATTTGCATATACTACCTTGGGTTGACATGATAGGATACAGACGCCAATTTTTTCCTTCTTCCTCTGATCGTGAGTTGGATGAACTGATTAAACTGCCCGAGCCTTGGTGATATGCTTCTCCTCGTTAAGAGCTTTTGTTTCGGTGCCTTGCGGGATTGACCAATGTTTTCTACTTATTTCTTTCAAATTGCAACTACTTTTGTGTGTATCTAAATTACCTTTCTTTGACATTGAAAATATCATGTGGCATTTATTTCAGTTATCAGTAGATAAATTTTTTGCAGATCAAGGTGCTGAAATATTTCCAAAAATAAAGTTTAGTATCTTGTAGATGACCCTAGTCACTTGTTTGTGAATGTGACTCAATTACTCATCTCTAGTCTAAGTGTGTATTGTCATACTTTTTGCTGTTGGATAAACATCTTCCTGAATAAGGACATCAGACATATCGAAAGCCCTTTTTACTGCTTTACTGTTCACTATGGGCTTGGAATTTTGTACATAACTAACTTGATTTCAGTAACTGTTTGCTTTATAAGATTTGTGATATGTATATATATATATATATATATATATATAATGTATCTAACAAAGAATTATTGTTTTATGTTCATTTTATAACTACATAGTTGTATATTTCCTTAATACATTATTTATGCATATCATCTAGTTGTCTAGTTTGGCATCCAGGTCACAAAACAAACATCGTGGTCGTTTTCTCCAGTCAGTTGTCGCGGTCTGTACGAAGTTCTTTTCACAATTAGGACACTGAAATCAAGAAGAAAAGAGTTATAATTTATTATGAATAACACCGGTTTTCATTCATCGTTTGAACTTTGACTTGGACCTCTGCTTATATCTATTCAGGTTTTCTGCTGTTATGAATATGTTTCAAGTAGATTTATACGAATATTTCTGGACAATACAGTTAAAATACCACCATAATTACAATTTAACATGACTGTTACTGACAATAACCGGTTATTATCCCCTTGTAGCTAAAAGACGGTGTAGATCGACCACTTATCTTTCCGTGCACTAAAAACATTTCGGCCTATCTGAATGTGAAATTTTTGTATCATCACCATACGTATTTAAATTTTCTCCAGAGTATGACAGATAGTTTGCAACCTAAACTACATGCGAAGGAGCATATGGCGTCACTCTGTTGTGGGTATTTTCTTCAGTTATTTGGAGGTGTCTGATCTAGAGACGTTTTCGAAGACCATCTGCTCCCAAGTATATCAAGTTCTTAACCCTCTTTTTCACTGCCAAGTTTACTTATGTATCCTTTGCAGTACGTCATTCTCATCAAATACTTTGAGGCACAGTGATATTTTCGGTTGCAATGGCAAATTTCTCGATGTTAGTTAAGTTTGCATAAGTCAGTGTTATCAGTGTATTAGGTAACTGAGCTTTCTATTACAAATTATTGACTACCTACCTTCAATCCTTGTTCTTATTTTCAGCAAACATTTATGAGGTCTGTGTTTAAAGGTGTGTATATCTGGTTTTCTAATAATTATCTTACATGCGTTGATGGAAATTCTAAGAAACTATCGAAAAGTGACGCTTTTTAGTTGAGTAAGCAATTAAAATATGACATGCTGGTAACAAAAGAATTGGTTAAATTGTGTGTGTTCCCACTACAAAACAGTAGAGTTATAGGTTTAGTGTGTTATTAGGAAAAGATCTGCGCATGTGTTTTATTTACGGATTAAATACCATTTGAACCACCAAAACCTGGTGCTGTCGTCAGGTCTTACATTGAGCTATACAAACAGCGAATAACCTATGTGACTTGTGTGTAATGATTAGGATCCACAATGATTGCTTTCGACATCAGTCCAAAGTGCAGCACGATGACAAACTAACAGACAGAATTAGGTCACTACTAGACAAGATGTCATTAGCTACGGTATGCCTACTGATTGATAAGAGATGCTGAAAAACTGTCTTGTGACATGTCATTCACTTGTAATCTTGATTGCCATTTCTGGTATGAAGCGAATCATATGTTGTGACATGAATATTTCCAGTTTCCGAAAGAAATTGTTGATTTAGCACCTGTAAGTGTGTAATTTGCAAATGGCGACGAATAAGGACGTGAGACGTGACTGCGACTCGTAATGTAATCCATCTGTGCCGAAATAATACCAATTTTGCCACCTCATAGTCGTATGTGGTCAAAATTAGGCAACAGAAAACCATAAATTGCGTCTTTACTACTATTTTTGGTGGTAATCCATTGCTTATTCAAGTGTTTTGGGACAGTCGGGAAACTGTCCACTTGATTGGGATTGGTTTGAAAAGGCACGCGAAATGCATAAGTAGGTGTCTAGCACACGTAGATTTCTTAGGTTTAACGTTAGCGATGAGAAATTTGTAAACGTCTAGCGATTATCATTACTTTTCTGGGAAATCTTCGTTATAATGATATTTGAAGGTTGTTGCAGTAATGTAGGCAAATCTTGTAAGTGAAGATAAAAATATATGATGGATGCACTTGTTTAACACTCATATGCTTGTCAAACTTACCTTCAGTGTGAGGATATTTTGTTGTTTACCGGGAAGATAGCTGAAAGGTAATTTTTCTATTACTTCCATATTGCATGATCTTATCGATCTATCCTGCGGAAAGTAGTATTCATAATTGTAATTACTTTTGATGCTGTCAGAATCCACTTTCCATCTCTTGTCATGCTCACATCATTGATCCAGTCTGTGTGTCTCTGCCAAGAATGCTAAATATTCCGAAATTCAAAGTACCTTCAGACATAATTTTATTTCCTGTTTTTCAATATCCCATAGTATAACGGATTTGTCATGACCTCCGGTCACCAAATAGTTCCCTATATACATTAGGGGTTCAATCTTGACTTTACCTTGATCATCTATGTCGCAACTGCTAATTGAACCTGTATGTCCATTTTCCAAGGTTTGCGGTCCCTGTAACCTGTATTTTCCAATGTCGATATCATATAAACAGACTGTCTTGTCCCATGATGTTGTTGTCAGCAACTTTCCATCCCTGGTTATTGCTGATGATGACACAGCATTTTTATGATCTCTAGAACCAATCGGACTTATACTTTTCATCTTTTCAAACCTGAGCGTCAGCAAAGGTCTTTGCGATCTAAGGTCAGTGCATTTAGTAGACCCATCTGTGGATGTTGTGATTATGTAACGCTCATTTGGAGTGAACTGACATGATGTTGGTGTTTTTTCGTGAACCTCTTTATATATATATATATATATACATTAATTGAGAGTTAATATGTCTTACTTGGTAAAGAAAATACTTTCTTCTGAGATCTTAAATCCCACAAATTCATACAACAACTTATATCAGTCACACAAACTAGAGCGTTTCCATCCTTGCTGATAGAGTGGTCAGTAACTGCACCTCCATTTAGTAGAGTAAACTAAGGACATTAATGTTAATCGTGATATTACCTTTAGGTGCAAAGTATCATAATCGAATGAACATATTTTGAAATCCATTCCTCCAGTTGTGATACTGTTACGAATTATTATATTGTTCTTAGTTTACTTGCTCCCTTTACTATCTATTTCCACGCTGTTTATTTGTGTGACATGTTCTGTGGTGATACCGATTTGTTCGGCCTTATCTAGAGACCAAATCCGTAGTGTCTGATCGTAGCTAACTGAAACAATATGTTCTGTTCTCTCGTTGTAAGTTAAGCTCGTAACTGAGTCTGTGTGACCATAGAAAACAATATCGTTGAACTGATCATAGATAATTTTTATGTCGAATTACAAGTTCCTTGTCCGTCATTCATATATGCTAGTGCTTCCAATTATCTAAGTAAGAGAAAGTAATTATCTAGAGTTACTAAATTGACTATTACAAGATTCTTAGTATAACTATTCAGAATGAAAGAATGTTTTAACATTTCCAGGTAACTTTATTCCGTAGTATCTAACTACACTTATATCTTAGGTTTGATGTACTGATAGCTTTTTAATATAAATTCCGTTTTCAGTGTGCTAATTTTCACTAATATCTACTGGGTTTACAGACAGCATATTGGCTTCAGGATTATTGGCTTTCCGAGAAGATAATCATGTCCATAATTTTCAAAACTCCTAAATTTGAAAGCATGCTGAGTTTTCGGTTCTGTAATTGTTGCATAAGTCAGGTCAGATCGTCTTCAATAAATTGCAATAAGCTGTAAAGCGTAAATGTCATTTTTTAAGATTGAAATTGAGGTGTTACAAACATGTATCTTACAACATCTTCCTATCCGGCTATAATAATATTAACGATAATCACTATTCCAAACAACAATGTTGTACAAGATGGAATTTTCAGCAGTTTCTTATTACTGCAAGTTTACTCCTTAGGCACATCAATCAAACAGATTCCCGTGAATCTGAAGCTAATGCAGATTTTGGCATACGCAATAATAATGCATTAGCAAATGCTAGAAATGAGTAGCTGTTTATTTACATATTATAAAGTATCTTGGCTGATCCTTTTCCGGAATTTCTTGTTTTACACCATAAGACCCTTTCTAACTAGGGTATAGTAAAATTCGTAGTGCAGTAGTTTTCGGAACGCTTCACAATCTCTGGCAAACTAAGGTGAAAGACTCTGTTATTCATAAGACACGAATTCTGAGAGAAACTTACAAAACTACATCTGAAATGTCGGTACAAGTCGTAGTGCAGCACACGATTGCACTATGCTCACTATGGTATATTTTGTGTATTACTGAATTACTCAGAATAACTAAGTATAGCTTCTGGTGATTATCAATAGAGAAAGGCAATGTACACATTCTTTAAAAAAATCTCAGCAAACTGGTTAAGGGTTTATTAGGCTGACTAATATCTATCGACATAAGTAAATGTATAACCATGAACAGGAGAAGCATTACACTGTATAAAGAAGACGCTAATGCTCATGACCTAATATAGGCGGGCTTAATTTTCATATTTTGTTTTAGGGAAAGTGTTTTTCGTTTGATTTCGGGAGACTTAAATAGAAGATTGTGATATCCAGTCGTATTTTATTACACGGTATCTGTATGTGCGTTGCTTTCGAAATTGAAAATATCTCTGCAACATAACAACCTGAAAATCATATACGCCTGTCACACCCATGGGGCTAAGTGTTACGGGATAAATCTTAATCCTAGTTTAGACAATTCCACCTTCAATACTGAGGCGTTTGGAAGTGTTAAGTGCCAGAAGTATATACTTTTCATTACATGTGAATAATCCAAAGCCGCCTAAGCGTTCCTTAGTTTTACATTTCCGTTGACTTAGTATTCTCTGGACTGGTAGATATTACTATATCTAAACTACGGAAACTGCTAATTGTCATTTGTAATTTTTTGGAACAGTGAGTTAGGGATCCCACTCGATGTCTGTAATTATCTCATTTCAGAATATTGCTACAACCTCCTCTGTAGAATTTTGTAAGTAACAATCTTCGAATCAGAAGTTTACAATGATACATCGCATAAAGAATAACTGAAAGTGACAGCATACTAAAAAAAACCCATTAAATGTGGCAGGCTAAAGCCAAGAATTCTATGGAAAAAGATACACAACCTTAACTTTCATTTCTGTGGTCTGGGAAAGGAATGGCTGAAGTGTCTTACCCTGGCATTCCCAGTCATTCGAATTTTATATCCCTTCAAAGTATTCATTATTGAAAGATCTAATTTATGGCTGGTTTCTGGATTAGATGACACACCTGAGCTATGCAGATTTAGTTGCTTGCGCAGCGACAGGGTTAAGGGTCGTAGAGGTGGCGGGGTTGCTCTGTACATCAACAACTCCCTACATGTTCGTTCCGTGAAATCTGAAGCGCATGACAGTGGGACAAGTGAGGTAATTAGCTGTGAAGTAAGCTTTGCAGCTGGCACTCTACTCATTGGAGTTATGTATAGAAGTCCCTATTGTCAGTGCGATGACTTTATTTTAGATCACCTCAAACAATGGGGTAAACACAGTAGCTGTCTTATTCTAGTTGATTTTAATGTACCTCATATAGACTGGGTAGCTGTCACATTTCCAGGATCCGCTAATAAGTTTGACAGCCGGTTACTCTTGACTACCATGGAAAATGCCCTGACACAACATGTCTTAGGTAGTACAAGATTCGGTTCTACCCAAGGATCTTCCTTGCTGGACTTAGTGCTTACTCATGACAACGAAGACGTGGATGGTCTAGTTATTCATCCACCTCTAGCAAACTGTGATCATGGGGTGTTAGATTTCAACTGAAGGGTTGGTAATTTAGTCAGTTTTCAACCCAAATCCCGACCTAGTGTTTGGTATGCTGACATAGTCGCTATAAAGGAGCGTGCTTCAACCGCCGACTGGTCAGTCAATATGGTCTCATCCATTGAAGATGAGTGAGATAGATTTAAGAATACACTTGAGAGGGTTACCACTGATTTCATTATCTGGAGGATTCCTAAAAGACCAACAAATCGGCCACTTTGGATAAATGGACAAGCCATAACGCTCCTGAGACGGAGGAAAAGGTTCTGTAAGCTCTTTGTTTCTACTGGGCTACAGCAGTTCCGGCAGAAATACTGTGAAACCATAAACCAGTGTATATTAACAGCATTGGCTGAAAACCTAGCCGAGCCATTGTCGGTAATCTTCAATATGTCTCTGGACCAGTCTAAATGTCCAAGAGACTGGAAAGATGCCATCATTAGTCCGGTCTTCAAAACCAGATCTAGAAACTTAGTTCGGAACTATCGTCCTGTTAGTTTGACCAGTATTATTGTTAAACTACTAGAAAGAATAATTCGTGATGCTATCATTCAGTTCATTGAAGGGAACAAACTTTTCGCTGTGGAACAGCATGGTTTTAGAGCAGGCCAGAGAAAGTTGGGCAAGCTCAGCTGATGCTAATATCCCGGAGGATGTCATATTCATCGACCTTAGCAAGGCGTTTGACAGGGTTTCTCATTCAGGTCTCCTAGTAAAGTTAGGTAGTCTGGGAATCAATACAGTGATTACTGACTGGATTCAAAACTTTCTAAAGGACAGAAGACAAAGAGTACGAGTTGACGGGGTTTTATCAACATGGGAATCGGTTAAGAGTGGCGTTCCTCAGGGTACAATTCTAGGCCCACTTCTCTTCCTGATTTATGTTAATGAGATTCCATCGGTAGTTAAGTCATCCTGCTTACTGTTTGCTGATGACATCAAGATGTGGAGGGCTTTACACGATGACAGTGATCAACTTGCTTTGCAGGAAGATTTAAATTTGTTAAGTGATTGGTGTAAGCACTGGGCCTTGAAGATTAACTTAAGCATGAGTGTAGTTATGCATGTATCTCATAGTCATGTGCACAATTACTCAATGAATGGCATTGCTCTCCCAGTGGTCACTGAGTACAAGGACTTGGGAGTGGTTGTGCAGCATGACTTGAAAACAGCAGCAAACTGTAGAGCTGCAGCCACTAAGGGTTTTCGAATATTGTGGGCCATACGCAAGGATTTCTCGAACTTTGACGCTGATATATTTCGTATATTATATCCGACTTATATCAGACCTCATTTGGAATATTGGATCCAGGCAGCGAGCCCGTGTTTCAAATACGAAATAGATTTATTAGAAAGGGTGCAAAGAGTAGGAACTAAGCTAATAAAGGGTTTCTCAACCCTCTCATATGAGGAGAGGTTAAGTCGACTGGGTTTATTTCCACTGTCATACAGACGACTTAGGGGTGACCTAATACTAGCATACCGTATCCTAAGAAATGATTTTGGAGCTAGTTTATCTAATTTATTTCTTCCTTCTAGCACCAACCAATTGCGAGGACATCACCTCAAGGTTCAGAAACCACGGTCGAATCGTCTGCGTCTGGAGATCCGTTTTTCGAATCGAATTGTGAACCATTGGAACTCCCTACCGGAACACGTCGTATCGGCGCCATCCGTCGATGCATTCAAGGCGAGATTAGACCTCCTTTTTGCAACAAATCGAAAGGATTAACACAGGCATATAGCCTACTATCCTAAATAAATTGTCACCTGTAAACTCATGTTTTCAGCAGTTTAGAAATCCAATAAAAGTTGTGACATCGCCCAGTCGGAGAGTTTTTTCAGACCTGGGATATGCGGATGAAAACGTGGGCCAAGAGAGAAAATTTGGGTCATTTTCAGTTCAAACATGGGTAGGGTGGAGAAGAAACTTGGTTATTTTTCAAAAATTACAGGGTTAAAATGGTTTCAATATTTTTAGTAAATTTGTGGATTTCAAAAAATTCACAAGTACTAACATTTTTTCAGATAATCTTCAATAAGCACTTATAGTAAAACTGGAACATTTGGTTTACTATTTGCATATATATGTATATATATAAAATGGGTCTTTTCAGTCTCGGACTACCTAAGAATTTAGGGTAAATTCACTCCAGTGAGTACGCACAGTATTCGGAACAACCACTAATGTCTTCAACCCAAGCTTACAACAATTCTAAACTTATTCTAACCTATGCGTTGATAATGCCTTTTTATGGTAAATGAAAATTTTTTTCTACCCACTATGTTCTTAAATAACGCTGGTCGTGCTTAAAAAGAGAGCTGGGTGCTGAATTAATGCGACAAAATCTGAAAAGGCTAGAATTAAGCTGAAAAAATTGCCACTATGTGCTGAATTAGGTCTTTTCGTTCTGAAGTAATGCTAGTCAGTTCTGAATATGTGCTGAGAAGGCTAGAATTAAGCTGAAAAAATTGCCACTATGTGCTGAATTAGGTCTTTTCGTTCTGAAGTAATGCTAGTCAGTTCTGAATATATGC